TGCCTTGGCACGAAGCGGCGACTCGGTGTAGTTGGCCTCAGAGGCTCGACAAAATTGACTCTGGTGCGTTGTCTTACTGGAGATTAGTAGGGAATAAGACATATATCATATAGGGTGTAAATATATAGGGTTTAGGGTTAGTAGGAAATAGAGAACTGGGGATCAGTAGGGCGAAAGGAATGTGTCTTGTGGAAATATTGGGTTTAGGGTCTAGGTTTAGTAGGGAACGGGGGATTCATTATCTGTGGATTACATTCCCTACTGCCTACTAAGAACCAGCAAGTTGTAGGGGAGTCGAAAAGAAGATGGAAACTACTTTTCAGGCTGAAGGATCTGACCTGCCACCGCGTACTTAAGTCACCTGGTAACCACCTGCACTGAGTCCAAGGTCACTTAGGGTTTAGGGTTTAGGTGTAAGACCATGGGCCCCCCATTGATCCTGGGGCTATAGCTTGGACAGACTATCCTCCATCCACACATGGTCTGTAGAAGTACGTTTTGCCTTGGACTGGGTGCAGAGCAGAATCGCATGTGACATGAGGAGGGCAGCGCTTGCGTAGCCAGGACCTGGCCCCCCCTGCTAGCAGGGCACTGCTGGGTTGCTGCTAAGGAACGTAAATTAAGACACTATATTGGGGAAACCCTATTATTTACTATATATACCCATTATGGTAACTTAATCTAAATTCCTTAACAGCAACCCAGACTGTGAAGAAACAGGTCCTGAGCTATGTGTCCTGGGCAGAGTGGCAAGCAGTGCACTCATGATAATCATGACTCTTCCTGGTACCGATTCCTGGTACCAAATGCTACAGGGCAACTGCAACCATACCCGCAGCCAAGCTCGCACTTTAGCAAGCAATATCCGTCTAAGCTGAAGCCGCGCCTGGCAAGAGAGTCTGCGAGCCTGCGTGCGGAGAGCCCTGCAACAGGCCATCCTAAATCCTGGAAACCGTGAGCGATAAGGCCCCAGTCCCCAGACCCTGGCAACAATAATGTAGACCCATGATTAATAAACCCCCTCTTTCGAAGGGCCTTAATATTAGGATTCCTATTATAATCCCTATTAGAGGGAGGGGGTTTATTAATCAGGGGTCTGGGTTGCCACTCAAACCTCACATCGAAGCATACGACCCAATCGAATAACATCCTTCGCATGCACAACTAATGAAGGCAAATGATTAATCATCCCCATCCCATCTGTGTTGTTTGGGGCTGCAGTATACCATGCACAAAGAAAACTGCGAACCCAGGGGCATGTGCAAAGTACTCAGACTCTACGCCCTAAACCCCAAAGCCCAACCCTCTTAATCAAAAGCCCCGAATCCACGGTCCTCAACGCCCCTCCCTCATTCAGTACTGCCCAAGCCCTGAGCCCCAAATCCCTAACCCTAACAACGCTAACAACCCTAAACCCCAAAAGCCCAAGCCCAAGACCAGAACAACCATCTCCAAAAATCCGCAGCTCAAAGCTCTAAAGCCTAACCCCTAAAGCCTAATCTCGCTACAACCTTAAGTCTAGGGTTAGGGTTTAGGGGCTTTGGAAATTAGGGTTGAAGGTTTAAGGGTTTAGTTCGGGCTTAGGGCTACGGATGCCCAAAGCCCGAAACCCAAGGCAACCGAGGACTTTTGCACCTCAAACCCCCATACCCCTACGTGATCCCAGTTCCCATTTCATGTCCTTTTGGAGCTGATTCTCCAGTAATAACTCCCAAAATATCCGTATGCATCCCCATATTAGACTTGTATATCCCAAAGCATAAACCCTGCAAAGCCTAAACCCTTCACACCCTAAAGCCTATACACCCTAAACCGCTACGCCCTGAACCCTAAACCCTAAGCCCTAAACCTTAAATCCTAAACCCTAAACCCATAAAGGGGAACCTAGGCTTCCTACCTTTGGACTGTTAGGGTTTGTACCCTTGAGTTTTGTGTCCCTAAACCATGGAATATGGCCCTCAATAAGGGTATTTGGGACCCAAAACTTAGGGGCACAAACATTAAGGGTACAAACTGAAAGTCTTTGATAAGCCCCTATACACCCTGAACCCTAAACCCTTCTGGCTCCCAGTGGCCCAGTCTCCCCATGCGGACCCGGTCAGTCCATCTTGGAAGAACCTCGGCTGAGGGATTTAGGGTTTGGGGGATTAGGGCTTAGGGATTTAGGGTTTAGGGTCTAGGGTTGAGGGGTTAAAGTGTTGGGGTTGAGGTTGTCAGGGTTGAGGGCTTTGGGTTGACGATGTAGAGTTGAAGCTTGGGGTTTGAGGGTTTAGGGCCCACCGACTTCAAGTGAAGCGACCAAACCCTGCAGCACGCCTTACATGCTAGACCTGCAGCCTGAACAGACCCAGAAATCCAAGCTGGGTCTTGGAACTTGTTTCAACACCTGTGGATGGAGAAAGTCTCGCACCACCTCGTACACTTTTTGCTCCAGGAGTTACAGCTTTAAGGGGTTCCAGGTTGCTCACATGTGCCAAGCAGCATGCCAATGATGGCCATCATCGCTAGCCTGTTGCGGATAGGTTCACTACGGACAGGATGGAAAAGAAACATATCCACAGCAACATCCTCTTCATCATTATGAAGTTTGGCACGCACCCGCAAAATGAAACCACAGAAAGGGGTCCTACAAAGGTGATCGTCAGTTTGAAAAGTGCCTGTATTGTTTGAGGCAGTGTAGAACTCAGTAGTACACGTCATGTACTTCTGTCTAATTCCCAGACACTGGCAGAAGAGCTTGATAGGACTTACCCTAAACCCTAAAGCCTTCCGTTGGCGGAGGAAACCTTCCACCACTTGGGATACATAGCGCATTGCACTTTCGAGGGCTCAACGGATTTAGGGCATTTAGGGGTTGTGCAAGATGTCCTCCATCAAATGTGGGAGCGTAGCCATGACGGGTATGACCTACCTAAACCCGGTTTCCATTACATGTTTCCATTTCTTGTCTAGCTCATTCTTCATGATGGTTCCCATGTACCCTTAAACCTTGTCTTGCGAAGCATTGTTCTTGTTGTAACGCTCCCGGGAGCAGGCCCCCAGTACCTCGTGGCTGGTATTGAGGTTTAAGCCTTAGGGTTCGAAGATTTAAGCCTGAGGAGCTTGGGCATCCAATAGCTTACCTTTGCCCCCGGGCACCTAAAGCCTAATGCCCAATGAGCCATTGTCTAAACCCCCTTAATAAGCCCTATAGTAGTCCCCTATATAATCCCCTATATAACCCCCTTCAAGGAGTTTAGACTATAGCTCAAATGCTGAAACACGGTAACGCACCATCTGGGCCTCACTCCATGGGACCCTGCATTTGCCAAGTACCTACTACACGTGGGTATTGGTCTAAATTCCCTATAATACGGGGTCCTATATTTGGGTTCCCATTCTAATACGGGGCCCTATATAAATTTCCCCCATTTTGGGAACAGTAATTTAGGGAAACTACCACGTGCAAGCTTTGACCAAGACTTTTCCTTCGATCCTGCAAAACTGTAAACAAAAGCGCTTGAGAGGTCCTAGACCTAGACTGCAGGGATTCGTTCGCCCCTAAACTTGCTGGTTCGAAGTAGGGAATATGGGAATATACTGTATAGGGATTATATAAGGAACATATTTCTCTTTTTCCCTACTGAGAGCCGGTAACATTAGGAAACCGCAAGCAGGCAAACTCCATCATACGGAGCCCCAACAGGCAACCATGATTTGAGAAGCTCCCAGAAAATTGCTTCTCCAAATAATCTCTATACTACTAAAGAATCCACCCGAAGGTGCCCCTACAGCTTGCCTGCCGTTGGCAAGCTCGGCATTCCTGAAGGGACTTGCCGGTTGTTATAGTACTGAATGGAAAAGAACATAATCGTAGGCCCGTTAGGTACCTTTAAAGGGCTAGTAGGGACCTATAGGGTTTGGGGCTTCGGGAATGAGAAGAACATGCGCAAGTACGTATATCATTCTGGAATATATGACGGCTAATTACAAAAGGCATCCGCTCCTCTATTCCTACTAACACCCGGCAAGGGCATGGTATGCGCTGATGAGTTTGTGATCCCAGCCGAAAGCTCTTGCCCAAAACCTTGACCCTACACCTTGGATTGCTTGGAGGATCGAGTGGACTCAGCAAGTAGGTTAATAATGGGGATATCTAGGGTTACTAAACGGGTTATAGGGGTTATGAACCTGCTTACTAAGCCCCCCTGAGCCTCCAAGTAGGTTTCAGGGTTTGAGGTTTAAGGGTCATTATGATACACGTGACGATTCTTTGAATCTCACAACTGTGAAAATACTTGAAAGTTCAGGGTAATTCTAATTCAGATACAACTGCAGTTATAATCTTCCTGTTAGGGGACTTGGGGGCCTCATGATTGGGTTATAGCTGTAAATACGGCCAAAAAAAGGTGGCAATTCCGTTGAGCCTCCAAGTAGAATAGTTTGTAGTGCCCAGAATGTGAATCCCAACCGGTCCATCTTGTTGTGAGTACATCGGAATCTGTCAAAGGAGGCTACTTTACCCTCTACTTACGGGCTGTGCCTATTTAGCCTCCTTGACCCTGCAAACACTGGCCTTCAAACACAGGCCTCGAATGAGTACTAGGCTTGATCCTGCAGCCTGCGTTTCTCATACCCAAAGCATCCTGAATTGCCCATAGCAAAAAGTGCATGCTTTGCAAAAAGTGCATGCTCTGAATCCTTCTGCTTAGGGCTCAGGGTCCGGTCTTGAAATCATGACAGTTGGTAGTTTCCCTAAATGGGGGCCCCAATCTAGACCACTGAATACTATAACCCTTATCATACTGACCCCAACTGACCCCACCAACAACAAGTAGGATTTAGAGCTTTAAGCTTTGGAATTTAAGCCTGGGCCCGACACACTTTGCACAATGATTAATTAGTCTTATTCTTATCACTGCTATTATTCCAAAATACTAATAGTACTACTAAAAATACTACTACTGACATCCATCATTGCAGGCGAACGGAAGCTTGCAACCCGCAACTCAGCCCGCCGCAACTTCTTCTTTTTGAGGTCGGCGTCTTCGATGGGCTTGCCGCCCAGGTAGCCGGGAATGCCCAAGAAGCCGTAACTGTAGTTCAGGGCATCCTCACCGAAGAGGCGTGTCTGGAGCTTACCAGGAGGATTGGTGGGCCGCTGGTCCGCCAACCACAGGTCGCAAAGCCCGCAGAACACGGTGTACTGGAACCAACCAACCGCGGGGACAACAGTGGTGGCTTGAAGGCCATTCGGGATGTCCACAAACTTCAAATCACTGGATGGCGAGAGGAATCCCGGAAAGCGAACGAACTCTTGGACGATGTATCCAACACATGCTAGCATGGCCACACGGCCGTGTTTGATCTCAATGCATCGTCGCCGGTAAAAGTCCTTCGCATCTCCGTCGGCTGTGAACCCGGCGGGATCCCAAAATCCCACAGGCGCTTGCACACCTAGGTTCGTTCCAACACATCTACTTGGAATAAGTCACTGAGGTAACAAAACACTG